GCGTGAGGCAGGGGCTCTGCCATCAGCCGGCCGAAGGGGGCGGGCGGTGCCATGATTGCCGGCCGTGAACGACCGTTCCTTCCGCCGCATCAAGAGCGGCGCGCGGGGCGGCAGGTTAGGATCGTGTTGGCACTGGAGCCAAGCTGGTGGCCGCGGACGCGCGCGCGGCCCAGGCGTGCAGACGCAACAGCTGGTACCCATCCAGACGGCACCCCACCCGGCGGCGCACCAGCCGGTTCGTCGGCTCATGCACGACTGCAAAGCCGAATGCGGCGCGCCCGGGGTTGCGGCGGGACGCGCCATCAAACTCCTGGGGGGGCCGGGGCGGTGGCGGTGAGATGTGACATGCTGCCCTTGTTTCCCCCCAGGCACGACCTGACAGCGCAACCACCGCTCGCGGGAGGTGTGCGGCGGCTGGCTGCTGCGGCTTGGGGGCCCGGGCCGAGCAGGGCAGCACCACCCACCAGTCTGTATATCGCGTCTGGATCGAGAGGCTTCGCCATGGCCGGCTGCCCCGCCGAGGGACGGCGCGGCGCTGGGCGCCGAGAATTGGCTCAGCTGGAGCTGTGCGGCAGTGCGGCGGCAGCGGCGCAACGAGTGCACGGCGGCAACTTGCTGTAGTTAAATGCTTTAACACGACTCAGGAGCTTTATAGTGTAGTTGTTTGATAGTATTCCCCGGGCAGATTGCTGCTGACGACGTGCAACCACGGACTTGTGAAATAGATCATAATTACCAACACTCTCGGACTTCTTCGCGTTTGAGCGAGACCTGAAACGGTGCTTCTCCTCTTGCTTGATGGCAGGTGACACCCGAGTGACTCCGCGTGCGGCATGTGTCGTTCTCCGATCACAACGCACGTTTGGCCGATTTAATCAGTAATTTTTGAAGGTTTTTGACGTAAGGACGCGCGGCGCTGGTCTTTAGGTGTTCTGCAGGTGCAAACAAAAGCAGCACCAATGGCGCTGCGGTCGTCAACACAGTGGCGCTCACGCGCATACATGGGATTATTTCGAATTAACAGCTGCACAGTCGCGCTTTCCCACCCCGCCGCACAGCGCCTGCCGATGCGCCGCCTCCGCACCACAGCCCGAGCTGCTGCAGACCCTCCAGGGCGGGGTCCGCCCGTCCCGGAAGAGCCCCAGGCACAGCCGATGCAGCCGATGCAGCAGCAAGATCCGCAGCAGCAGACGCAGCAGCGGGGGCCGCCGTCACCCACGGCGTCCCCGTCTTCGTCGCTGTCCGAGCAGCCGAGGACCACCCTCCTCTCCAGCCTCGCCCAGCGGCTGGAGTCCGCCAGCTTTGCGGCGCGGCGGCGCGGGCCCGGCGGGGACGGCAGCCATAGCGGCAGCGGCGGCGCATCCGCTCTCAGCAGCGTCGATGCTGAGGAGGCCACAGCGGCGGCGGCGGCCGCGGCGCGGGATGCGTTCCAGGCGGGCACGCTCGGCGTCGGCTTCTCGGCAGGTGCGCCGCAGGCGCCGCGGCGCGCAGCAGAGGCGCACATATGGCCGCTTCGGAGGGCTGCTGCGCTCGCCCAACTTCCGGCGGGCGGTTTGAGTGCCGATCACAGGCCAACATGCTGCAGCTGCGTGCTTGCATTCCATCGGTCCCCTGCATGCGATAGACCCCACCGCCTGCCGGCCTATTGCCACCGCATCATCCCAGCCCCATGCGGATGCCGTTCCACACCCACCGCCGCCTACACCGGCAGGCGGCCTGCTCTTTCCCTACTTTGCGGGCGTGGTGGACGAGCTGACGTCACTCGGCGTCATCGGGGAGACCACGAAGCTCGCCGGGGCCTCGGCCGGATCCCTCATCGTCGCCTGCGCGCGCAGGTGAGCTGAATTGATCAGATCAGACCTCATCAGATTCGGGCCCCCGGCCGCTTTCTGATTTGTGAGCGCGCTTGTCCTGCCGCGTGGCTGTGCAAGTTGAACAACTCAGCTGTGCAGCCCATGCGGCTGGCATATCCAATGCTCGGGTCCTCCATTTCCCCCCTCTGTTCAGCGTGCCACGGTTCGCGCCACCCTCCCCTTGCATCCTCCTCAACACGACACTCCCTGTGTATGCAACCACCCCCGCAATAGTGGCCTGCCCATGGCCACAATTCTTGACGCGTGCTACGCCCTGGCGGACGACTGCCGCGCCAACGGGACACGCTTCAGGCTGGGCCCCGTGCTGGAGAGCGTGAGCGCGCGTTGCGGGTTTGGAGGGACGTTCTCATGAGCTTTGACCGCGTTGACCAGCGCCGCGCAGCAGTGATTGGCGGACCTTGTAAGTCTGTTCCGCGGTGTGGCGCATCTCACGCATCACCCCTGCCCCACCAACCCCAGGTCTTGCGCGCCCTGCTGCCGCCCGACGTCGCCGCCAGCGTCAGCGGCCGCACCTACGTTGCGGTCACGCGCGTGCTGCCGCGCGGCGGCCCCGTCCTGCAGCCGCAGCTGGTCAGCCAGTTCCGCGACAAGGAGGACCTCATAGCCGCGCTGATGACGTCATGCCACGTGAGCGCGGGGAGACGGCACGCCACATCAGCGCGGCGTGCCACGCGACCGTGCGCGGCGCCCCCCGGAGTCACCGCGCCAGGGGCCGGCTGGCTTGGGAGGGCTGCGACCGCAGCCCAGAGCAGGGGCGATTGCGGGCCGCAAGCCATCGCACGGCCGTACGGGCGGCGTCACACCACAACCCTTGCACCCAGACACGTGATGCCTGCTTAGGTGCGCGTCGCTGCCACCCCCGGTCGCCCCCACCCCTCCAGATCCCCATCTACATGAACGGCAGGCTGACCAACCAGTTCCGCGGCGCCATTCACTTTGACGGAGGTGGGGAGCGCGGGCGAAGATGATGTGTGTGTGAGGTAGCGTGCACCACGCAGTTCCGATGGGCGCGCCCCCGCCCTCCTCGCTGGCGCACCTGCGCAAGCGGGCCACGGCGCGTGGCGGCGCGGTCAGCTCTTGAGGGCTCGTGCTACTCCATTTCTGCCGCCTGTTGAGCCACCCCAGGTCGCCTCCACAGGGTCCCTAGTCCTCACCCCCCTCGTGATGGGATACTCCCGGGCCCCTTGCTCCTCCCACCCCGCACATGGCCGACCTTCCTCCCCTCCGATCCCCCCTTGCTGGCCCCTCAAAAGAGTTTCAGGGTCTAGCATTCAGGGTTCAGATCAACCGATTCCTCTCGACAACTTCTTGACACCGCGCCAACCCCCCTGAATGCTGGCCACCCCCTCAACC